TGCACAAGGAGGGGGAACAGCAGGCAGAGGAAGAACAAAGCTCCCTAATGATCAAGGGGCTTGATCCCAGGATCCTGAAATCATGACTTGAGCCAAAGGCAGATGCTTAACCAACTGAGCTACCCAATCACTCCTAAAATTATTTTTTTTTAAATAAGTACTTTCCTTCATGAGCAACTGCACAATCTTGCATTGTAAAAGTATCTATTTTTTTTCTAGCATAGGAAAAGTTTAGCTATAAAATATCTGACACACAGAATCTATGGTATGACATTAAAACTTTCTAAATTGTCACTGTTTTGAATCAATACTAAATAAAGAAATAAATAAAATGATTTCAAACAGCAAAATCAATGCTTATACCTGGACTGGAGTCAATTGTGGGATAGGGGCAATAGGATACATTAAACTACAAAATCACAGAAATAGAAAGAGATGCGAGCATCAAAATAAGGAAAGTGAAGTCTTTTAAAAAGTAACAAAGGGAAGCCTGGGTAGGTCAGTCAGGTAAGTAGACTCTTCCTCCCCAGCCCCTCCCCCTGCTCATGCTCTCTCTTTAAAAAATCTGTAAAAAAAAAAAAAAAAAAAAAAAATCAGTGTCAAGTTGAACTGACAGGAAAAACTGGTTTGCTTTTTTTTTTTTTAATTATCTCCTAAAGAATTACAATTTGAGTAGAGGAAAGAGCTATAGGTGATATAAATTACCAACTCTTCTAAAGCATTTGTTACAATGCTTTACAAAATCACAGCAGAAATATTAATTAGTTTGAAACTTACACTCCCATAAACTAAAATACTCCTCCCAAAAGAGTGTTCACAAAAAGAATCCCTAGTAAGAGAAGAGAGACCATTGGATTTGATGTATTTAACATTCTGCTGAGCAACAGATAAATAAAACTGTAGGTGATCCACAATAATGGAAAAGTTTTAAAATACCATGGATACTATCTCAGTTTAGTATAAAATTATCTAATTTCTGTAATGATTACTTTAAAAATAAATTTATCTATCTATCTATCTATCTATCTATCTATCTATCTATCTATCTAGAGAGCCCGTATGTGCTCAAGCAGGGAGAAGGGCAAAAGGAGACAAGATTCCAAGCAGACACCCTGCTAAGCGTGGAGTCCAACATGGGGCTCAATCTCACAAACCTGAGATCATGACCTGAGCCAAAATCAAGAGTCAGATGCGTAGCAGACTGAGCCTTCCCAGCACCTCTGTAATGATTACTTTTGTGTCAAAAAGAGAAGACAGTCAAATGCTTCCTTAGACAATAAAAGTACAGTGAACTCAGAAGTAGTTAACCAGCAAAATTACCACCTTAGTGTAGACGCATCCCTGCCTTCTTTAACCTGTCTAAATTGACCTACCTATTGTTGAAAAGAAAATGACAGGGCCAAAATAGCATCACTCAGGCCAAATCACTGAAGCCCAGTTCGGGGACTTAATACCTAATCTAATGGCAGTTTCAATCTCTCCCAGGAAATGTAAGTCTTAACCAGCCAGTCAGGAATATTCTAATAAGTAACAATGGGCTAATCTCTCACACGGGTCCTCTCCATCCCCCCAAAGAGGAGGTAATTTCATTTAAAAAGACCCCCAGCCTTTCCTCCAGGGAAGATGATCTTGCCTGAAATAATCTTTCCTCTATTTTGCTAATAACTTCCTCATCCTACCCTCTCCAATAAAAAACCTTCCATTTTGATAAATTATTGGAGTTCCCAACTACTGTTAGATGGGACACTGCCTGATTCATGAATCCCTTAATAAATCCAACCAGATCTCCAAACATTTGAACTCATTTGAATTTTTCTTCTTTAAAATTAAGAAATCTCTCTTACTATTCCTTTCAAAAATCAGTCTTAGCCCTTCTCTCCCTTGATAAATTATAAATTCCCTGAGGTCAGGGAACTGTTTTGCCTTATTTATTCCTCACAGTATTTTGTGGTGGTGGAATAATATGAAATTTTAAACAGAGTGGACAGAATGAGCACTTTGAGAAGGTGACAGTGAAACAGAGACTTAAAGGGGATGAGGAAGTTGGCTCTGGTGGCTGTTTGGAGGGGTAGGAGGAGGGGGACTTTCAAGTCTAATACCAAATGTGTTTGTGGAAAGGCAAGATAGGCTGTAATGGTTGAAGTCAAGTGTGCCAGAGGAAGAGGAGAGGAGTAGGAAAGGAGATCCATAGATGCTAATGAGGCCAAGATTTGGGATTTGCTCTGATTAAGAGAAGAAGTCATTCCAATTGGATCAAAGCTATGAAGTACCTGATTTGCATTTGAAAGGGATTGCAGAGCTGATTTCTGAGAATGAATCAGACTAGTGAGGAGGTCTGACTCACACTTCACAAGTACCCCTCTGGCAACTCTACTGAGAATAGATTTAGGAGAAGCAGGAAGGGAAGCAGAGAGACCAACTAGGGAGCTCTAACTAGAAAGTGAAGGACTAATGACAGTGGCTGTGACCTCAGTGGTAGTGATGACGATGCTGAGAATTTGTCAGATCCTTGATTTTGCAGCATATGCTGACAGGATTGGATGTACAGCATGAACAAGAAGAAACAAATCAAAAATGGTGCAGGGCTTAGGGCCTGAGCATCCTGAAGGGTAATGCACCCTTCATGAACTAAGAAGACTCAGGGGAGAGAATACCAGAAATGTGGTTCTAGAATTGAGGCACTTATTAGAAGCCTAAGTGGATAGATACAACAAGCTAGCAGTGAGTCTGGAGTTCAAAAATGGAGATAGGAATCTGGGCATCATGAGATGTTTAGAGCCATATGGCCATATGAGATCATCCAGGGACAAAGAACAGATAATGCCCATACTAGATCTAATTACACTTTGGGCCAGAGCAACGAGAGGTCACAGTGATGAGAGGAACCCACAAAGGAGGCTAAGAAGGACCAGCTGCAGAGGAAGGAAAGAAACAAGAGGGAGGGGTATACCCAAGGAAAGGTGAAAAAGGTGGTGCAGGAATGTAGTCAGTGCAAATTCTCCACACATTGCCTTACTAAATACATCCTACTTATCCTTCAGATTGGAACATTTATTTTTTGGTAAGCCCTTTAGGAGCAGCCCTGCCTTATTCGATGATCCTCCACTGCACTGCAAAATCACAGTGTGTGTCTCAATTACAATACTCAAAAATGTCATTAAAAGAAGGAAGGAAGTGCTCGATGGACAGCCGACATAGCACAGATGGCAGCTAAGGGCGGCATGCGCAGTGCACAGGTAAGAGCCAAGAAGGAAGACCTATGCATCAGGGCACCACAGCTGAACAGCACCAGCTAGGAGATTACTCAGCTAACTCCTCTTGCTCCCCTTTCCAGCTCATCAAGCAAAACTAGCCAATATAATTCTGTGTCCTTCTTACGTTTTCCTGCAGGGTTAGAAAGTGACAACTAGCAAACAATAAATATCTATTCTAACGCTTTGCTGTATTTCTCACTGTGCCTGAATAGATGGGTGTTCTGTTTTACAAATTAGTCTAATATAAGTTTAGTTACCGTGTTTCTTTTTGGACTTCTAGTATTGTTCAGTCTGCTTGTTTCCTGTTTTCCAAGTGCCGAAAACATGCTGTGAGATCTAAATGCCCCTGACTGGCAATTGCAAGGGACTGTGGTACAGAAAACCATGGCATCCATGCTGTGTGACTGACTGCTAAAGGGAAATACTGATTTGCATTTATTTTATCTCTTGTTGACATGCAATAATGGTCATAGCCAGGATTCTTGTATAATGGTTGAGTAGAGGGTACTATGCCACGCCAGCAAAAAAAAAAAAAAAAAAAAAGATATTTTGTTGTTGTTTCAAATATGATCCATTTTTCTAAGTTTGAATTTATTCCCTAAATGGAAAAATAGAATCCCAGACCCACACTAACACACCCCTGGTTGAAATCTAACATTTGTTAGTATAGCTAGTCTTGCTAAGCTACATCAATTTGTGATGCTCTGAGAAAATAGGGTATGTGGTCCTTTAAAGATCAAAATTTGAACTGTGCTGACACAACTGAGGTAATTTACTTTTAAGGTGCTAACAGGGTTTGGATTTGGCCTCCCTCTGGGTTACCTATGCTACCTCTAAATTCAACAGTGAGTGTCAAAGAAAATTTTGGATGAAATTATTTAGAAAAATGACATCAAGTAGATAAAACCTTTGCCACAGTTTTCACTTCTGAAAACATGTTGGAGAGTAATCCTTCCTCTATTTTTATTGACATCAGGGAGATAAGAAGAGAATTTACAACCATTTAATTTCGTTACTAACCCATCAATCTCTATAACCAAGCTAATAAGGCTTTTGTGTTTCTTAAGCCTTTTGTATTTTTAAGTCCTAAATATATCTGAAATCTAAGTCCTCCTCATGCTCTCCCCCACCCATGGCAGCCAGACTCATGCCAGGAGGAGACTGAGACAAATTAGCTGTGTTTCTGACTTTGGAAACTATCACCGGGATTTTCCCTTAGACTAGGGTTTTCTTGACTGGAGAAAACCCACTACATTATATTAGAATTTGCTAAGCCCTTTGCATTACCAGATGTTGTTTATTGTGCTAATGGCTACTTTGACAAGAGTCATTTTGGCAGTATTTAATTCTACCCATAGCTCCTTTGTCTTCAACCTAACAGACCCTGGTTCCTCACCCCACTGCACTGGCCTTTGGGTCCCCAGGTCCTACCTGGCTTTGTTCACAAAGTCTCATTTATTCATATGAAATAAGAGCAGGGGAGACTAAGGGGAATTTTTATAAGCACAGTTTAACTTTACAGGCTAACTTCAATTTTATAAGCTATGTTGATAATAGAATAAAAAAAGGTTTCCTTGAATCAACCAGGAGGATATGAGTTGAACCATATCCCCAGAGAGTTTCTGAATAGAATTACTAAGAAGCTGGAAAACCTTTGAAGTAAGACTGGACTGTGGACTTAGGACTTTTCACAGTGGTATCCTGACCATATGCTTAGATACTTTTATTACATGGTATATATCTTACCTTAACTTCCACATGTGCCATCAGTACTGCAAAATTGGTTAGGTGGTTACAAGAGCATGTAGTGTGTGTTTTATTTGTTGTCAGGAGCCGACAGCCTTGTGTTGACCAATAACCTGTCATTGTGCGCTTGGAATAGCTCCAAAATGAACAGTTAGGGTTGAAATTCTCCTCAGACTGCTATAAGGGAAAAAAAAATCAATAAAGCCAATAAGTACTTTATGATCACCTAAATTAGACAGGTATTTTCTTTATATCTAACACAACTTCATACTCTATTCCAACATTTGTGGAGATGTACACCAGTGCTTTTATCTTAAGTGGGCTTCATTAAGCCTGAGCAAATTTGAATAGATGTTGTTTATTTCCTCTGATTAGAGATGAATTTACTTTTTAAAAATTTAATATTAATGGAATACTAGTATCGATATCTCAGAATGACTTCAACTAATTTCAAAGTAAAGTACATTATAAAGGATTTAATTAAGCAATTTCTGAGAAGATGGTCTTTAGAAATCTTTGTTCAATTTATGATACAATCTTTGTACATACATAAAAATACGTCTATGCACACATAATTACTTGTAACATCATATGTGAAGCCATGTCCAATTTCACTAAATATGTTGCTAACTCTTTTAATTATGGAGACACATTTATAAATCTATCTACAAATATTTTATCAGAAGCATTTATAAATTCAAGAATTATTCTCACTCATCTTAGAAAAAAAAATCACCACTATCATTCTATAGATAATAAATTGCTATCTGTCAAATAATAGGAAAAAACTAAAGAAAATTAATATACTTCTTGTTTGTGCTATAACAAATATAGATAATGTGAACAAATAAACTTAGCATACCATTTTCTTACCTTAATATGTTTAACGGTGAACACCACAGGATCAGCTAAATAAACCTTATTGCTGAACTCTTTGTTTATTGCTGCGGTAATAACAGGGGAATTGACAATAACAGAATGATTGGTGGACATAGCCTCTGTTCCCAACTTCATGCTGGCATTCTCCGTGGACAAATAAGGACCCAAGTTATTGTACAGGACAAAGGCCACTCTGATCTCTCCTGAAATAAATATAAATATGAATTATAGGTTGGGAAGAAAATCTCATTATTCTGTACATTCCACTTAATTTAGATAGTTCTAAGTTCTAATCAAATCCATACAGTATATAATCACAACAAAATTAAGGATTCATTTTAACCAAAGTGGCAACTCATTCATGAGAAATGGAATGTCAAGTGATGCTGAATAAAGTACATATCAATATTTTAAGAAATGAATGTCAATCCCTATCTCATTCTGTACTCAAAAGTTAAAGACAGATCATAGATCTAAACATAAAAACCAGAACCATAAAGTTTCTAGATCAAAATATAGAATCTCTATGATCTTGGAGTAGGCAAGAATGACATGGATAGGACCAAAAAGACATTGACTATAAAAGAAAAAAAATGGTGAACTGTGCTTTGTCAAAATTAAAAATGTATCTATCAAAATATAGCATTAAACAATAATATATATGAGACACGTCTATATATAGCAGTTCTGCTAATCAATAAGAAGAAAATAATGCATGAAAATAGCAAAAGACATAAACACATACTTTAGAAAAAAATATATATGAAAGGCTAATAGAAACATGAAAAATGTTCAGCATCACTAGTACTTAGGGAAAAATGAAAAATCACACTGAGATACCATTTCATACCCACTAGAAATTATAATATCAAAATGACTGGTCACACTAATATTGATAAAGCTGTGGAACAGCTAGAGCTCCTATACACCACTGGTGGAAATGTAAAATAGTTTAACTATTGGGAAAAATGGTGGTTTCTTATAAAGTTAAGCATATCTGTATTTCCTAGAAAAGTGAAAATGGGTATCTACAAAGGGAAAACAAAACAAAACAAAACAAAATACGCTTGTATAAGGATGTTAATATCGTCCTTATTCATAATATTCCTTGAAGGGAAACAACTAAAAAATCTACCAATAGACAAAGTATGGCATACGAATATAATGGAATATACTATGCCTCACTAAAGAACTACTGAGAGCAAAAAATAAACTATTATAGCATGATGACAAATCCCAAAAATACTATGTTCAGTGGAAAAATTCAGACAGAAAGGGGTACATACTATATGATTCCAGTTATATGATGTCTACAAACACGTAAAATTTGTCTATAGAGATAGTAATGAGAGTAATTTCATCAGATAGGGAGAGGAGGTCAGAAGACCGGGAGGGGGTCACAATTTCTGGGTAATAGAAGAGATTTATGTCTTTCTTTATGTAATATCACAGAGGAATGTTCAACTGTCAAATTCATCAAGCTCGTTATTAAGCTGTGTCCATTTTATTGTACGTAAGTCATATCTCAATTGTAATCAAAAGTAAAAACAATTATTCAAAAATCCTTATCTGTCTTAAAACTCAATTACTATGTTCTTTGATAGTCACTTTCTCCATACATCCTTCCACCTTTTTTTTCTCTTATTATTATCTCTTATGTGCAATCTTCTATACAATTAACCTTCTTTTAACATGCTATCAACCATATTTTCTTTCTTACAATACACCAACCCCTGTGTCTTACTTCCAATATGAATTCATATCGGCTCACAAGCACTGTCCTGACTACTGTGGTTACTAAGATGAGGAAGTCTCAGTCCTTATCCCTGAATCTCAGAGTCACATGGAAATAAAAAAATTAAAAAAAAAAAAGAAATTTTAATATATTTCTTTTGAGAAGCAGATCTAAACTGTGCTCCCATATTTGGAAAATTCACTACTATCAGGGATTTATGGCCACAAAATGGACATATATTTGCTTCCCCAGCCTGTCTTGCAAAGAGGTTACTCTGGGCACCTCAGCTAGATGCCTCCCATTGGATGCACTAGACTCTGACCTCAGATGAGAAGCTCGTGACACAGAAGCAGGGGGTGGTGCAGCAGTAGCCGCCTCCACTTGTGTTTCACCTGCGGCAGCAGTGACATCTCACAGCAATGATTCTGTGTGATGATAAAGGCTGCTGTCAGCTTCCTGGCTCTTGTTTTCTGAGCCTGATTCCCCAGGCTTCTCAGTAATTCTATGAGATATCCATCGTCCTTTCAGTAATTCAGTAGAGTGATTATAATTATAATAAGAGCTACGTAAAGGAAAGGGGCATTCTAAAGCTTCCAACCCACATCTGTTAACACAGTACTGAGCAAACAACAGTAATTCACTAACTACTTCTTGTGTGTTACAACACAGCATTTCATTTTAGTTCTTTTCTCTAGATTTAATATGAAAATACTAAATTTTGGAAGGCTAAACTTAACATTTTTTCCCCTTTCTGGTTGACAGTAACAACTTTTATTCTAACTGTTTGATAACTGACTGATAATTCCTACCAATTTCCACCTATGGGACAGTGTCTCCTTGACATCCCCCCTTGTTTTATCAATACATTTTAGTCACGTATAATTGTTATATATTCTGCAATGCAAAAGTAATGCTTAAATGTGACCTAAAACACACACACTACTTTAATAAATAAAATAAATGAACACAAAACGTAGTATGACTAATATAGCCATATTTTAATTGCCATTAGCTGTGTACCTGAAAGGTCATATATTTATTTGATAAATTCTTAGAAAGTTTATGCATATGCCAGGCACAAAGGTTACACCAGTAAACAAGTAAGAAAAAAATCCCCCTGCTCTCATGAGCTTACCACCTAGAAGGAAAGTCAGGTAACAAGCAGGCCACTTAAAAATAATAATTATAGTATTTCATATAATGTTAAGTGAATAACCGCCATGAAGAATCACTGGCATAAAATGGCTAGTGGGAAAATAGCAATTGAGAAAGAATGATGTACCTTCAGGGAGACAGAGGAAAACTTCCCTTACCCTGAAGAGGTAAGGTTTATACTGAACAGAGAATGACAGAGAAGCTTCTATGTAAAGAACTGTAAAAATTGCATTCCATGAAGAAAACAAAAATCTGATACAGAAACACTCTTGATGTCTTCAAGGTACAGAATCAAGACAAGACCAGAGAGAATCCTTGTGCACTGTTGATGGAAATGTAAATTGGTGCAGGCACTGTGGAAAACATTTTGGAGGTCCCCCAAAAATTAAAAATAGAACTACCACATGATCCAGTAATTCCACCTCTGAGTTTTTATCTGAAGAAAACAAGAACATTAACTCAAAAAAGATCCCTGTACTCTATGTTCATTGCAGCATTATTTACAAGAGCTAAGACATATAAACAACTCAAGTGTCCACTGATGAATGGACAAATAAAGAAAAGGGAATATTATGCAGCCATTAAGAAAGAATGATATCTTGACATTTATGATAACATGGATGGACCTTGAGGGCATAATGCTAAGTGAAATATGTCAGACAGGGAAAGACAAATATTGTATGACCTCACTTATATGTGGAATCCAAAAAAATTAAAAATAAAACAAACTAAATTCATAGATACAGAGAACAAACTGATGGTTGCCACAGGCAGGGGGCGGTGGGTTGGCAAAATGGGTGAAAATGGATGAAAAAGGCAAAAAGTACAAACTTCTAGTTATAAAATAAATGTCATGGGATGTAACATATAGCATAGTGACTACAGTTAATAATGCTGTAATGGATATTTTGAAAGTTGCTAAGAGAGTAAATCTTAAAAGTTCTCATCATAAGAAAAAATATAACTCTATGTGGTGATAAATGTTAACTAGACTTATTGTGGTGATCATTTTACAATACATACAAGTATTGAATCTTTACGTTGTATACCTGAAACTAATATAAAGTTAGATGTCACATATATCTCATTAAAAATGGAAAGGAATCCAGACTAAACTTTCGGGATCATTGTGGGCATGAAAACAATGGACAGGAAATGGGGCAGACATGAGGCAGGAAAGAAGTGAACAAGCACATGGCGGCCAGTGACACCACCTGATTTCATTTGACGTGCAACTGAACACAAACTGGTCAGATTGACATTTCGGGAAGAACTCTTTGTCAACAGGATATTCTGTTGGGAGGCAGAAACAGTGGACAGAGGGAAATCAGTTGTAAAGCTAATGCAGAAATATGATTTTGCTTCTTAGAAAATCTTATTGCTGCCTGAAAAATTCACATAGTCAAATTAGCAATATAATGACTTATAAGGTCAGTCTTGTAAGATTTCCAACACTTAAAAAGAATTTTGTTCTGTTGACAACAGTCTTAATTTGTTTTTCTTGGTATCATACAACAGGATCTTCTTTCTTTAAAACTATTCACCCTCCACTATGATATGCCACCTTTGAGTTGGTTGCTACAACCTGAGGGCATCTTCCCATCACCTAACAGGTCAAAGGATCTCATTTAGTTGGCAAAAGTATGTTTTTAAAAATTTGGTACTAGTCACACTGGAGACACATTTTCTCCGTGAGTTTATTTAATTCTCATTATACTCAGTGAATTTAATGTTGTATCCAATTGACCTGAACTGACCAGTTCCTTTTCCCTAAATCATCTTCTCACATTGAAATTTTCCATATGCTTTGCAAAGAAAACTCATAGAAATGCCTTCAAAAATAAGTGAATAAGAAAAAAAAAGATCATTTAATTTTAAAATTAGAAGTACTCAATAAGGGGATCCCTGGTTGGCTCTGCAGTTTGGTGCCTGCCTTTGGCCCAGGGCGTGGTCCTGGAGTCCCAGGATCGAGTCCGCATTGGGCTCCTGCGTGGAGCCTGCTTCTCCCTCTGCCTGTGCCTCTGCACCTCCCCCCCCCCACCCGTGTCTCTAATGAATAAATAAATAAAATCTTTTAAAATAAAAAAAAAAGTACTCAATAAGTAAATAAAATCTTAAAAAGGGGAGGGGAGTGTCTGGGTAGCTCAGTCATTTGAGCATCTGCCTTCAGCTCAAGTCATGATGTCACCGTCCTGGGATCGAGCCCCACATCAGGCTCCCTGCTCATGGGGAGCCTGCTTCTCTGTTCTCCCTGCTTCTGCTTTCTCTCTCAAATAAATAAATAAAATCTTAAAATTAGAAGTAAAATTCTCATTAAAATTTTTGAAACTAAACCTGTCAACTCCTTTCAAGAAAAAAGTCAGATATCTGTATTTTGTTGTTCATTAATTCCTCTCAGATTTAAGCTTCTGACATTGTACAGAACAATTTTCAAATGTGCCTGAGAATTTTGTAGACCTAATATATTGTGATGTTGTTGGCACAGAAGATAGGAAAGAGAAGGAAGAGGAAGAGGAGAGCTAGAACAGTTGAATGAGAGGAGAGCTCTTGGATAGCAGGTCTAAAATCCCAAGCCAAAAATCAAGTCATTGATGAGAATTCAATCTCACCATGCTTAGCAAATAAACTCTAACCTACCGTTTCGGCCATTCTGTTTTAATGTATTGGCGGACAGTTGGATGGTGCTTCCGTGACCCATGTTTTCTGGAAATTTTAGGTCTTCTAAGTTTCCTTCTGTACTCAGCCTTGCGACTTCCAATTCTGTTAATGGCAAAGAGTTATCAGTGTTCATTGAGAAACACAACCCAAGATGAGTTCCTAAATCATTTAAATATTTCTGAAATCAAAACACTGGAATTATTGTTATACTAATTATTAGTAGTCAAAATTTATAGTAGTTCAACACTTTATTTTGAAAGTATTTTTTTAAAATAAGGCAAATAAAAATTGTTAAAATCAGGTAAATAAGAATACAAATGTATCCATTATGAAGCCTAAAATTTAAAAAAAAAATCAAACTCAAAGGCTTATACTCTGTCATTTACTTCAAATTTATTTTCAAAATATTATCTTCGTGAATTAAGTAAAAGTCTCTTTAAGTCTCTTTATAATTTGGAGCTGCACTATCATATCGATATTGATCTATCTTTAAATCTAATAAGTTTGAAAGAGCTTTATCAAATCTTCTGAAATAAAACTGTCAGCTATATCCTTATGCACAATAAAAATAGATTTATACTCCTTATGAGCCAATAACACAATTACAAAAAATTGTTTTATCACCTTCACTTAAATGACTGATTTCTTTATAGTACATAATTCAGACATTCTTACTATAACTGAAGTGACCTGTAAGCACTGTGTTAGGAGGATAAAGTTTTAGATAGTACAATGCAATACATAGATACATACAGACATAAAAACTAACTAACCTATGGATCTCACTGTGAGTGATCTCAGGCTCAGATATCCAATATTGGAATGTTTTACATGATTATGAGGACCCTCTTAAGCCAGTGGCAGGTGATATCCTTATAATTATAGAAAAAAATCACTTATCTCCACTGAAATAAAAATCACTCATAATATCTGTGCTACCATAATTTTTTTTTTCTTTTCTCTCTTCTGCTGTACAAGGGTCTCTGGCTCTTCTGTATAACAAAGGCCACTTACGAATATTGTCTGTGTTCTCCCTGACAATGTCAGTCTTCAAAAGGTTATCAGCCAGCACAAAAGCACTTTCCTCCACAGTGTCAAGCAACATGGTGGCTGCACGTAGTTGATCGCTTGTAGTCAGGTCTCTCCACGCATTTGAGGCTTGTGGCTGGAGGAGGTTGTTAACTGTCTCGACCATTGCCTACAAGAGGATGAACAGAATGACAGAGGTCTCTAGTGAACTCACAGAGCTGTCAGAAATCCAGGTGTACATGTTGCTCAGCAAGCAAGGATCAGCGGTGTGCATGAGTTCAGTATTGTCCCAGCCTCCCCTGTGACATGCTGCAGCAGAAGCATTCATTATTTTGTTCTGTTAAAACCCTAGCTGAGACTGCAAGGCAAGAGAAAAATCAGCTTTTGTTTTGAAGGACAACAAATAGATCCATGCTTGCTTCTTAGAATCAATAGCAATGGCTTCAATAAGACTATAATCACATAATTAAATTATTTGGCTGGGGAACTGTTGGCAAGTAATTTAAACCAACACTTTTATCAAATCACCCACAAAAATGATTTTTCCCTAGTATCACCATAAAACTAAATGCTGAATACAACAGAGATTAAAGGGGTGACTATAGACAGGATCATTCAAGAATTTGTTGCCTATAGATAGGTTGAGGACCCACTGAGCAAACCATTTTTTTTTTCTTAGCCAGCTCGTAAAATGTCAGAATGGGAAAAATATCAAAGCATACACACTCCTAGGGGCTTTGGATATGTTATGTGGGGAGAAAAACCTCCTCCATGCTGTTTACTACTAGGGAGGGCAATAAACAGTCAGTACTTGGCTACCTGTGGCCCTCAGGTGTTTTTCCTTTAAAAAATCAGCAGTAGGTACATAGAGAGATAAAGATCCACAGTTCTCATGGCTTCATCCAAAAGAATCATCTCCCTAGTTACAATTTATATATTTCCCATGGTTAGCTTTATGCTCTAGGTTACAAAGAAAAAAAAACAAAAAAAAAACAGTTCTCCCGATAAGGTCTCCTTACCGTTTCATTCAAACAGAGAATTACAAAATAGAAAAATACAACACCTGCAGTTTTCAAAGTGATCATCCCTGAACCCGTTGATTATGAAATATGCATCTAATCGAGAAACAGATTTGAATAAATAGCCGACACAGGCACTTTCTGGGCAGTGCATGGGCGTTTTAAAACAAGACTCATATTATTGACACGTTGGCAGAAGGATTGGGAGAGACTGAAGAAATACCCATTACACTGCAGTGTTTTCTTGTGGCTGGTGTTTTCATAGTAACCAACTAACAACTGTTAAAAATTCAGCTTCATAATGAAACACCTTGGCTGCCAATTAACACCAGCTTCAAAAACTAATTTGCCTTTTGATAAGAGTTGTTTTTTCTTGATATTTTTCCCAGCTACTCCAAATTCTGGCCAAAAATCAACATCAATGGACTTGTATGGAAAATAGTCCTATACTTGCAACTTGAGTACTTTGCATCATTGGACACACACACAAACAAACAGCAAACAAAAAAACACCAAAAAATCTCTCATGAGTTTAATAACTGGGTGTTTTCCCATAGTGGGCTTAGTTCCGCCATGTGTTCTGAGTTTAAAGCATGACCTAGAAGCCAGACAAAAGCATTTCCGAGCACAACAAAATGATTTGCTTTCCAGGAAGTTCTTTATAGGGATAATGCCAACAGGATATGCCAAAAAGGAGGTGCCACACTGGAAACAAATGAACAAAACAAGTCTAGGTATTTTCAGAAGCCAGAGAACATCGACCTTTTAAGTGCAAAGAAATATTCTTTCTGCGATTAGATGATCCTCTGAATTCATTAGAAATGCTCTGAAAATCCCAATGCAAGAGAAATGATGCCTGTTTTTTAGAGACAGCCATTGTAACATTAGTTAAGAATCTTAAACCGATGAATTTAAACCTGACCTCAGAGAAAATTTTATTGGGGATAATACAATAATTCTGCTCTGCTCTTTACTGTTTTTAATTTTTTTTTAAATTTAAGAAATGCAAAAGAACGAAGAAAGAGAAAAAACAAAAATAAACAACTATGGTCAACTCTGAGAAGGTTCTAAAAAACCACCTGTTTACAACAGACTGTTCTACGTAAAATAACACATTTGAATTGGTAACTAACGAATTGAAGGCACCTCTTTTTAAATCATCTTAGTTTTGCATCCGAAAATGTATGTAGTGCAATATTTTATCATAGTCATAAATTTTAAGCACATTTACAACAATTGCACTTTCCAAATGAATCATAATCTTTAAAGAAGTTTTCTATTAAAGCCCAAATGATTTCCAAGTTTATTATAGAAATGACAGACATAATAATACATGGTCCTAAAACCTGGATGGGTTAAGGAAGAAATCCAATATTTATTTATTCTTTAAAAAGCACTTGTTGTGATGGCTTAAGTATAAATATAAGGGAATTTCAGCACAAGGGCTGAAGACAGAATTCTGTAGTGCTAAAATCAGAGTATGGGATTTGGAACCACATCTGCTAAGTGTGGACCTGGACTGTGCCACTTTCCAGATGTATGATGTTGGGCAAGTTACTTAACTGTGCTTCATCTGTAAATCTGAGACGATGGTATAAGCGTTTTATATTGTGTGGCAATATAAATGCATTTATGTTGCCTGCCTCAAAATGTGTGTTTAAGGTGTAATCTTATGTTGATTTGCATTGGATAGCGAAGTCCAGCTAGGGAAGAAGAGAAGTCTTCAGTGAATGAAGCACACACACATCACTGGTTGTAATTACAAAACATTAGCTCTGAAGTGAGAGCCGCAAGGACTAACTTCTGCAATGTAATGTTCAGAAATAAACCTGTTTTACAACTTAACTACTAAGACTATATCACCTGAATCTTTGAGGATTAGGACAGTACAGGAGCATGTATATTAAATAATTCATATTGTATGTTTTAGAGGTTTGAGAAAACTGACCGGTTTTCTACTACTGAGACAGCATGGCCAAGTCAATCCTAATAGCTTTATAATTAATGCAGTTTGCTTAAACTTTCCAAATTTGCTGACATGTCCCTGTTACCAGTTGAATGAGGTCAATTAAGTAGTCCCACTCTCTAACGACAAAAGAATATCTTTATTTTGTTTTCTTTGTACATTTTTGCATTTGTATGTTTTACCCACAAATGATGACATCTGGTCATTATGTATGTGTGTGTGGTTTTCATTTTTCTTTTTGTCAAACAAGTTATTTGCATTCCTTTCTTAGTTTGACAGCATCTCTTTAAAGACAAGTTGATTTTCATTTTATTTGGTTACAAGGAAATGAGCTTAACTATGCTTAGAACCAAAGTTGAACAGGGAATACACAATGAATTGGACTAAAGTGAGGCAGTTGGTCCAACAGCTCTCACTGATTCTCTTTTTCTGCCATAAATATTTTTCTGATCTAAAATTTACATGATAAAGTTGGAAGAAAATACACTTGGTCCCTTATTTACATTAAAAAAAGTGCTTTGATCCCTGAGGAAAAAAAACAACAAAAATCACTTAATGGTTTGGATGCATAAAAACTGAAATAATCTATATTTCTGAAAAGTGAATTTAATCACCAATGTCCTTGTGAGAAACTAAATGTCAACTCACTTTATTATCTTTTTCAAAACACTAGAAACTGAATAGAAGATGGCATTGGAAATTTGCATACTAGTTGTCACTAAATTTCAGTGCATCTTTGGACATATTTATGTTTTCTAACCAATCAACAAAGTGGGAACTATACAAGAAAATAAATTTCATTATGTTTCAATTTGAGGGTAGTCAGGGGCATTCTGCTATTCGATATCACTCTTTATATAGTTTATCACTAGACTCTAAAGTGACTTTTGACTATTTCTAAAAATCAAATGTATAAAGTGTAAAAGTGTAAAAGTCACTTGGATTCATACCAGGATCATGAGCGTATCATATCCTTCTGGACATATATTTGCATTACACAACTTTATTGGACCTCTTATCATAAAATTCAGATCTTAGGCAAATTCATTTTACTAGTTTTACTTGTAGCATATAGTTATAGTAAGTTTATTAAAAGATGTTATAAAGTATATAATCATATTATTTCAAAAGGGAGGACTTACTTCTTTGCTATAACTACTGTGAAAATTTGGGGGGACACCAGCTATTTATTTCTCTAGTAACATCTTTGTCTTTATTCCAAGAGGATATGCTTGTGAAATACCCAGGATCAATGGCGAGAGATCTATTTTTTAAAAGATTTTATTCATGAGAGACACACACAGAGAGAGAGAGAGAGAGAGAGAGGAACAGAGACACAGGCAGAGGGAGAAGCAGGCTCCATGCAGGGAGCCTGATGTAGGGACTCAGTCCCGGATCTCCAGCATCATGCCCTGGCCCAAAAGCAGATGCTAAACCACTGAGCCACCAAGGGATCCCAGATGAGAGATCTATTAATGTCACCTAGGTGAACCATAAATCTTAAACTAGCTAAGCAAAATCACCTGGAGAATTTAGTTACTCCTGCTTCCTTACTTGAAAACCATTAAAGACCCAAATAGAATGAATGCTTGTGAAAAGGTATGTAACTTTACCATTACTGCGTTTTTCTGAAGATAGGTTTTCTAATCATAAGCCATTCAGGTTTTAGCTCAGGTACAAAAAGAACTTAGATTATCAGCATAGCTAGGAAGAATGCCCCCACCCTTAACTCTGTTTACTGTTTTGTTTTCTTTGTATCACATGTCATTGTATAAGGTACCTAAAATATGTATTTATCTACATGGCTATATCAGATCTCACACTCAAAAAATTTATGTTTCAGGAGGGGGCAACTCTGTGTCATTTATACGTGCCCAAAACTCTGCCTGGCATACATGTGTTCAATGACTCTGCTGAATGATTGCCATCTAATGAAGATTCATACTTCAGTGAGTCATCTCCATTTTCATGACAGCAGGGGAAAAAAAAACTCTCTGAAAGTATTGCTTTTAGAAGAGCAAAGAATATGTAAGTACAAATGGAAAAAATAAACTAGTAACTAGTCAATATCTGAATCATTATCATTTAGAGATTCACTGCCATAACAGGTTCCTATTTTTGTACTTTAAAACCTTGAATAGAACTATCCACACTTATGGTCTGGCTCTCTCACTAGATTACAAT